ACGAGAAGCATGGTGGCGTGGTGAAGGTTGGATCGCAGGCTTAGTGTCACAGTCGCCGATCTCAACGCGGCTGTGGTCGAGAGCATTCCTCAGTTCACGGGCGCATCCGCGGCTACATGTTTACTTCTTATAGGAGTAACGTATCGCTCTGTAATGATACCACTAAGGAGCATCGTAACTATCGCTCTCACTCTTATAGTGGCATTTGGTATGCTGGTTGGTTGCCAACAGATGGGGTGGTTTAGGTTTCTCAATATTGAAGCCATATCTCCAGCCGTCAGTACTGACATATCGTACACTGTAGCAACACTGGGGTTCTCAGTCATACTCGGCCTGGCCCTAGACTATAAGATATTCCTTCTGGGTAGAGTTGTCGAGGAGCACGATAATGGTCTGTCAGATCAGGCTGCGGTACACGTTGGTGTTTGGAAGACTGGACCTGTTATCACAATGGCTGGAGTCATCATGACCATTGCTTTCTGCGGTCTTCTCTTCGCATCGATGCCACTCATTAACCAAGCGGGAGTCCTGCTGGTCACGGCGGTCTTGTTCGACACGTGTATAATGCGCACTATGGTGACACCGGCACTGCTACGGGTTATCGGTCGGCTCAACTGGTGGCCAAGGAGGTCGCCTCAAGTTACTTGCAACGATGCTCGGTCTATTCTCGATCGCGAAGGAAGCATCAATTCTGAGCAAAGTGAATGCAACCCCAAAAATAGTCCGTAATTTTCAATATTTTTTTGAGTTTTTTTTTCTTATTCATGACACAATTTCCAGTTTTTGGCATCTTTTTCGATTCCCGTTTTCCCCACCATTTTTATCTTGGATTTCAAGTGCCGTTGATCCATAGCGTTTTTTGTTGCATACTCTACAGCTATACGCACAACATATGTATGAACCCTCCAAGACAACACGTCATCCTTGCTGGCAAATATCTCCAACTGTTCTACCACTCGACTTCGGTGTCGTCAGAATTCCCTGTATATTGGACCACAAGTCTAACACTGCCGGTCCCCCAGCTGGTTCTGGTCATCCTATGTGGCAGCAGAGCACGTCTCCAGAAGCTGATGGGAATCTCCTCTTGGACGGTCTACTGCAATGAATCTCATCCAGACCATGCACAGTGCATTCCCAGCTAGCATTGACCCGAGCCAGGTTGGCCTAGTACTACCTCTCTATTGCTTGGTGAAGATCGGTTGCGGCAGAGCACGATAGTATCAGAGCCGTAGCCCTGTGTGGCCTGGTTATGGCTATTGCTTTTTGTGTTCTTTCATCAAAATCCACAGCTAATCAGTCTGGGTTCATATCAGTGACAAATGCCTTCATCAACGTGCACGATATGTTCACTCACTCTCTTGTAGCACTCCTAAGTGGAGCCAACTGCTGGCCCCGAAACTCCAAGAAATTGCTTCCGCGTGGGATCACGTTGATCATCCTGGCAGTCTTAAGGAGTCTAGCATAGTGCTATAGGATGTCGTTGGTTGTTTTTTTAGGACACCCATGTTATTGTCGATGTTTTCCATAGTTGTCACTATTTTCACTTGTGTTGTCGCCATTGGTATTTATAACGATTTCAGGTGCTTTTGCCTCCTTATTGTCAGTATCGTATTCTTCGTCGACCGAGTATTGTATCGGCTTACATTACTCTCTAGTCTCAACTAACCTCAGCCAATTAAGTGTCGTCAAGAACATCTCCCTCTCATACGCCTAATGTACCCCTCTAGCGATAGCCTTGTGGACCAGCCCTGTGTCAAGGACATGGTCGTCACTGCTTGTGACAAAACCGATGGTGGTCTCAATGACCAACAACCTGACTTTGTTGTCAGTCCGAACTCGTGGACCCGGCGTAAAGGTGTCGGCACTCTTGAATTGAAGAATACCTTCATATCACTGCGGCTCTTGGACCCTGTTGAAGGAGTAATTGGCGCTGACTCGGACGAGGAGAGTCCTCTAGAACTCATCCATCATGCCTCTAATCCTGTCTGTGCATTCGAGCATACACGAAGCTGGCCAACACAGTACAATTCGGCCTATCGCAGAGAGAGGAGTTGTCCTGCAGCTCTAAAGGGTGGAGTCTGTGAACTTGTCAACGACTCTAGCCCTGAATGCGCCATTGACGGTGAGTGACTACGTCATCGTAGTCTCTGTTGAGGATCTGGTTCAGGTTGTTTCGATGGAAACCCCGTATGCGAAATGACTTGTGGTAGTCCTCAGTATAGTTCACCTGTGTGCGGCGAGGATTCAACAATGTCGGACCGCAGACCGTCAGCTGGTGAGAATGGTTGCATTTCCTAGATTTCCTTGCATGTTAGTTTGAGAGAGAACCTGTTTGACTTTAGGGGCTTCCTTGACACCCTCTGGTGTGAAGATGAGCAAGACTATGAATCAAACTTTGTCCTATTCGCCTACCCGTACTGGTCGCGTTAATGGCCTCGACTACAACTACCGGAGTCGCCGTTCGTCACGTGGTCTTGTGACCGGTTCTCGAGCCAATAATAACGATCGAGTTAACTCCAGCAGTCTTATAGGGAATAGTAATGGCCCGCCGTCATCAACAGGTATGAGAACACACGATTGAACTCTGTGTGTGAGATTGAATTCCAGCGCCTACTACGACAACACGGCGCATCGATGCACATTAGCTCACGAGGAATCATCAGTTTTAACCTTCTAAATTGCCTGCTTTCATCTTGCCAATGAGTTTCGTCTACAGGGCGAGATAACCTCTGTACAGGATTGAGTAGTTGTTGCTATGATGCTGCTACGTGGTAGATACTCGGTCCACTGTGATGCTGCGGAATATTCCCTATTCTATGGGCCAGATGAGAGTTTTAGATGCCCTACTGTCTATGGGATTTCAGTACGGCTCATCGATTCATCATGACGAATTGTGTTTGGCATCAGGTCCAAAATAGATTTTTTCTACGCCCCTTTGGATTTTTCGTCGGGGAACAATCTCGGATACGCATTTATCAATCTGCGTAGACCTGAGTATGTCGACGAATTTTACAATAAGTTCAACGGTGACATAGCACTACTGATGGCATATGTACGATGTACTCGTTCCCTGTCATCAGATGTGTCCCTGTCGCATTTGGGTGAAGCATGGTGCGTGAAGCGGCTGAAAGTCTGTTGGGCTCGGGTCCAAGGTGGTGGATACTCTCTACATCTGTGTGTGTGAATGACCTGCTCAGGATTTGAAGCCAATGTTGCACACTATCATAACTCACCTGTTATCGACATGCCAGAGAGTTACCGTCCTATCGTCGTCAACGACGATGGCAGCAGAGTCTCTTTGCATCACCATCACCATCGCCAACAACAAGACCAAGAGATCTCGCTCAACCTGAGCTGTGTGAATCGTCAAACTTGTGATGAATATTTTTATAACAATTTTGCCGCACTAACTCCAGAGACGAGCACGGGAACTCCGGTTCGACCTTGTGATGGTGTCGGTGATTATCAATACACGAATGCCACCGTGCTGTCCCGTCCACCACCTCAGCATTGGACTCCCTCTGATAGAATTCTCAATACAGGACTTCGCCCTCAGTACTACGCCCGAGCCATCAGGTCAGTTTCTCACACGTATCGACGAATATGATAGCCCTTGTATCACGAATTCTATAATGCGAAATAGAGATATTCATATGAGATATGTTCTATGGTATCCTTTGATAAACTATTGGTATAAATGATGTACATGATGATTTCACACTCGCAATAGGCCCCATCTGTGCCCTTAGGAGACCGAAGCGCTTGGATTCGATCACAGCAGATGAGGGTCTTCTCGACCCCCCTCAACAGCTTCCAGCTCGTATGCGTGATGGCCGCGCTGTCCGCTACCACAAGCAGCATAGTGAGTCCATCGACTGAGAGCTTGTCCTCGCACCTTCCGTGGCAGATCATAGACAGCATACGACTCGTCGCCGTGCGTACACTACTGACCTAGGCGCGGTAGATTTCGATACGGGGCGGCAGACATCCGGGGATCTCGGGTGGGACGGAGTTTGCGAGTTGACAACCGTTTATGTGTGTGATGTCAGGCCTGTGTTGCTCGACCCAACGCCACGTTTTGATGAACCTACAGTGGGTGGTCTGACTACACCTGCCAGTATGCGGCAACGTACGCTCTCTACTTCGTCGACCTCGGTCACTGTCCATAGGAAGTCGGCTGAGTTTTTGTGATGCTAATTTTTCATATTAGCTGAGCATTTGCGGATTTGGAGAACCTATCTTAACCTATGTTATCATCTCATTAATAGTGAGGGATAAGTGGTGTCATCATTCTGCTATCAACTACTCTACACGTAGCTAGTCTTGTTCTTGGCAAGGCATTCACCCGACTGGGAGACACGAGCACGAGTAAAAACTTTTTTGATCTCCTTTTTATTTTCTCCTCTAAGAAATGATCACATTTCTGGAATCTGATTTATAAATTATCTGTCTACAGACCATAGTCATATGTATCATCACATCGCAGAACACTCATAAGATCTCCTCAGTAGAACTAATAGTTCATCTTCTACAATCATGTCTCGAGTTGTCTAGTATAGTTGGAAGTCAAACACTGAGCTTCACGATGAGCACATAAGCTCCGTCAGGTAAGGGAACAGAAAATAACGGACACGAAACAACCCTTAACGCCTTGAACAAAGTCATATACCGCCCTATCCTCGCTACTGATGCCAGTCGTGACCGAAAACAACGCGAGGGAAAGTTTGGTCGTTAGTCGACGCTCGGATGATCCTAAAGTAACTTGAATTCAAAACTCTACCAGATGTCTCTACCACTCATTTTGGGGACATTGAATCCCCATTACGAATACAAGTTACTTTGGGTTCAATAACTAAACCATCAGCAGATCCGAGCCCCGAGCCGGGAGACTGAACTTATTAAGCAAGTAGACTGTTCAGCAGAACGTATTTGGGTATTGTCAGTCGGGTGAGCGACAGCAATTGTAAGAGAGGCCACACACCTCCACTGTCATCACAGAGTCGGGTAGCAGCTCTTCCATTCCTTTAGGCCGAGGGAGCATCGAGCATCTGGTCTCAGTTGGGGAAAGTAGTGTGCAAAATCTTGGTACACACTCCGGCATTGCCGAATACGCTGGGAGGTTTTATGGTCGGTTGATTAATCAAAATTTGTGTTGATGTATTGACTTCGAACCCGACAAAAGAAGTGTACAGAACCCTCTTCATAACATGCGGAACACCGCTTTGGCGAATGAGTGATAATCAACAACTCCTAAAGTGATCGTCCCAATTACAAAATATCAAAAATGAGCGGCTCACCGCTGGCTGTTGGATCAGCCTGATGAATCATCTGATAGGCCTCGTCTTCTAGCAGCGCGTTCCCCATAGAGGTCATAGCGTTGACGAGATCTGCCGCATCTAGCTTACCCCGACCATCTCGGTCGAAGCTTCTAAATGCCTCAACGACTTCCAGCTCTGTTATGGCACTTCGCCTTAATAGAGATACAAGCCTGGAATCAGCGACCTTCCCAGGAGTATCATAGCATAACGAATTGACCTGACAAAATCCTGAAAACTGAGAAGTCCTTCTCCCAAGGGATCTGTCTCGTCGAGTGCCTGAGGACTGAGTCGTCATCGCGACGGACGTGAAAAATCGGTTTTCATACGTCAGCGAACTCGTCATCGGTACTCCAGAATCCGGCCCTGATCTCAACACACTCCATCGATTGCTGAAAAACACAGCTCACCGGCTGGAGGCTATCCGGGCCTCTTCTGACGTCACAAAACCGTCCCCGATCACATTCACTACTCGGAATTCGCGTGCGAGTTCGCCAATTTCCTACAAAGAAACTTCGCATAACATGTTGAGTGGGCGTATAGAATCTTAATTGTTCCCTATGAGTGATGACGTGACGTTACTTTGTCAGAGATGCCATTGGAATCTTCCAAAACATAGTCGTAGCCGAGTTCTGACAGTGTGGGAAACCTGACCTGTACGTCGAGTTAAAGGAGTGGTTATTTTCCTCTACGCCTACCCCCAAGGCTACTGGTTCCGCGATACTCGAGTTCTCAGATCTTGCCGAATCTGTTTGGTCGTTTGGTTCACCACCGCTGACGATGGAATTTGCGCACTCTCCCGCAGAGGTTCGATCCGCACTCCCTCCATCCTCCAAGACCTCAGACATTATCGTATTTATGAACCCGTCGAGTGACCCTCCTGTTGAACTCAAGACCAGCGACAATCCAGTATAATGGAGAACGATGGTACTGCTGTTGCTGTTATCGTCATTACTAATATCACCACCAACTATCGTGCGAGAATGTGACAGCCGTAGATGATTATAATGATCATACCGAACGCTGCCATTGACTACAGCTATCACTATGCTGATCGACGACGATGGCTCCATCATCAGGGACGAGCCGAAGCTATCGTTCATACAAGTATAAAACAAGAGATAGATAGTGCAGTCTGTATCCATCAGCTCTACACTCCGTCGCACGCCACGAAATTAGCAGCGTTACTTGAGAGCTTATTCACGCCCCACACTTCACGGCATGTGACAAAGATAGAATGATGATGCTGATACTATCAGAACAACAACACGGCGACCAGACGATCGATAACATAATCAAAGGCTAAGGTCAACATACTCCACGACGATAATGATGATGATGATGATGATGACGATATGATAATAAAAGGTACAGATTATTACTAGAGAGTAGGAGAGGGAAGAGGAGAAACAATAGTAGCGAGATGAACCACCAGAACCCATAGCAACGATAGTCGCAACAACTGGGGACTTCCTGGGCTGCATATGGAAATGGCAGCCAGAACGACATCATCATTATCGCAGCTTAGCAATTCCGATGAGATTGTCTCCCACGTATAGCATACCCTACTTCCTCCTACTTTTTCTTTTTTTCCACCGGTTTAAGCACCTGCCATAACGAGTACCGATGATACACCAGTTACGAATACCACAACTGCCCGAATCATTACGGAAATTCATCATGGTATCACATGCAATATCAACTACTGTCACTTGGGTTATTACTACCTGGAAACTGCACATGAGAGTTTCATCTACACTCATCATCGCGCCGGCATTATCGAATTCACCGCAATAATTAGGAGCAGAAAACAGCGTCACCAACTGCCTTTTCGCGAAGAACTCATATCCGTCTTCAACAACCTATACCACAACTTTACCCCTTCCCCTTAATACGACTAACCTGATGTGCTCGACATATTAGATCCAAATCGTGCTTTCTGAGACAAGCCTGAACGATGTCCGCGCCGAATGTAAACGAGACTCCTCTGACAGGGACTCCAATAATCACTGATTGTGCTGCTGGTCTGATATACTACCGATCATTTTCTCCCCAACCGCTGATGTCTTGTTCAGGATCAGACCAGAGTAGATCACATAGTAAGCCTGAGAGCTGCTACTAGGCTTATGAATGTCACTACGGGCGCTACCAGTATCGGGAACATCTGTTGGACGTAATATCCGTTTAATCTGGTCCATGGAGTTGAGCTCGGGAGACAGACCCCCTGATGATAACGACAAGTGGGATTTTCCACGCCGAATTCGAATCCATCAATGACAAACTGATCGAATGAAATTCCAGAAATTTAGTGACAACTCTGTAAGATGCAAGACCAGCCCAGAGGGAGCGTTGTGAGAAATAGGTCATATATGTCGTCGTTCGAAAGTTACTACCGTGCATGCAGAGTATTTTCTCATCGACTATTGCGGCCACCGGTAGGCAGTTAAAGCAATCCGTGAAAATCTTCCACAACTTAATGTTGTATCTGCGCTTGCCTAAGAGAAGACAAGACCGATCATTATCATCATCAGCAACTGCATACGAATCACCGCGGCTCGAATAGTGTGAATTCTGACCAAAAACTCTCAACATCACCTCAGTTGATTTTCAAATTTTGGGCGGGAAACATCCAAGGAGTTCAACCCGAATAGTAGTTATAATGTTGAGCCGTCTAGCAGCGTATATCACAGAGGCATTATATTCTCGGGCGTGTTCATGTGACTATAGCGGTTCTTTGCAATACTGTTTTCGAAAGGGCTTAAAAGCTCTTGATTATTAATTTTAGAGAGGTGCCCTTGAAGCCCTCTGGCTCACGAGGGAGGGTCATCAGACTGAGCCATCTTGGCGTCTGTCGTAAACACAATAACAACAACAAGAAGAACAATATTGTCGAATACCACTCCTCCCTGAATTGGTCCTACATTCATCGTAAAAACCATATATCCTGTTGATGCTAGCACACTCGTGATTGCCTCTAAGTAGGAAGAAGTTCTCAGGATACTTTATTTTATATGCCAATAACAAACAGATAGTTTCCAAGGACTGTTTTCCACGATCAACATAGTCTCCTGAGAGAAGACCAAAGTTACTAGGGAGGGGAAAAGAAATATGACAAGTACCAAGAAAAAGGTAGTTGGCTTCGGGTGGGAAGCCTCCGTATTCGAAGAGCCGCAAAAGGTCATAGTATTGACCATGCACATCACCTGATCGCCAGATGATACAGTGGTGACACAGTGATGGTGACACATACCACATATCTTAATGGGTGCTTCTAGTTCTAATAGGTTAGGTTGTTCGAGGAAGATCTGTCTTGATTTGTTACACAGTGCCCGTATCTCACCGTCCGATAATTGGACTCCTTTACCAGGCCGACATCCACGAACCTGTTCATGATAAGTCCGTAACATACTACTAGTACTGCTAGTACTACTAGTACTACTAGTATTACTACTACTACTACTACTACCTCAAGGAGCTTCTCAATGATAGCATCAACATCGATGGATTCCACAGTGGATGCCCCCGGAGATGCCATTATTAATACTAAAAATGAAGGCGTGAGGGAGAACACAGGACGAGCTAATCCGAATGAACCATGACTCCAGAATCACAAGCGCAGTTTTCTCATGTAGTTTTATCGACGCTTTTAGCTGGTCAAACACAGATTTAAGTGTAAAAAATATCAGCACCTGGCTCTTATCCGGACCTATTTCGTATCTTTCTAGATTCGACCTAAGATTCCCTCCCGTCACATAAAACACAACTCGCATTGTTATTTCCAGCCTGGTCATCATCATCATCTTCATACAGCGTCAGTCGTCATCATCATAATCCACTGTTGTGATCAACAGTAGTGAATGTGAGCATCAGCGTCATAGACACCACTGATTAGTGCTGCTTGCGGACCTTGTTGATGGAGGCACGCATGGCCTGACCGATGCGCTTCTTGGCAACCATAACCTTGAAACGCTCGAAGTCGGTGAGACTGAGAAATCACAACAAAATCAAATGCCATAAATCGGACCTATTTTGAATCTTTCAAAGTCATGCTCAAGATACTTACGCGAGCTTGTTCTTGCGAGCAACACGCCTACGGGCGAATCTAGTAGCGTTGAACTTAGCAAGCACGTCACCCTCCTTGAGGCCCTTAGCCACAGTAGGGCCATGAGCACCACGGAAAGTGTTGGGGACGACGAAATCCGAGAGGGCCAACCAACGAATAGGGATCTGCTGACGGGCCACACCTGAGGACATCGTCTCTATGATGGTGTCGATCGACTTATCCTAGGTATTACCGGTGACGTTCTTGGGTCCATCAACAACGACTCTTCGGTGGTCAACAACATCGACGATGGTGCACTGCTTGCCCTCATCGGGACCGTAAGTAACGGTGCAGAAGCGGCCAGGCTCTACGAAACGATTATAAGACGGCATCGCTGTGGGTGATGACTTCTTCGTAAGAAGACCAAGACAGGGGGAAAGCTATAGCGAAATCGATCACGCGCGGGAGGGGGTGGGCCTACATAAATCTTGTAATCTTGCATTTCCTCAACGGCAATCAGAGTTACTAATACACGACTCGTACATTACTAACTCTGATTACGCGTACAGTACGAGCTAACGTGTAAGGTAAGATTCCTCGTCGTAAGGTCTCACAAGGCACAAGGAGGGCCTTTTCACGTAATACGATTTCATTGGAGGTCTTTTTAGCTCTTTCCTTAAGACCTTTACGTAAGGTCCCGAGGTACTTAACGGCACCTTATCGCATCCACGCCTTACCATCCTCGGGGGCTTCGCTCCGCTTTTTTCCCACCGGACCACGCATCTCCGAGATGCCATCTCGTCTGCGGATGTTTTTGAGCTGTATCGAAGCAATGCGTCGATTTTTCATACCCGTCGGTGTATGTTTAGGTGCTCCTCGTGCTGCTTATCGGGGTCCACGAGGTGCATCTAGAATGCATGAAGGAGCAAGAGGTGCAACTGTAGTGAAAGCACCTCGCGTAAGGTGTAAGACTCCTCGTCTCTTGCTATTAAATGCAAGGTGCACCTCAAGGACCATTTCTTGTGAAACAGGCTCCTGCATGCCGACCTTCGATGGCGTTGAGGCCATAGATTTGCTCCTCGCTGATGACGAAGATGAGTCTATCTTCCCATAGTTTTGCCGAGGACAGAATACGGAGGGTCAACCGCCGGGAAGATGCCATCGACAATGTGGTAGCCGTCGTCGACTTAGTGTGTTTTCAGTTTAATTTCGCAGTTGGAATTACATGAAAGCGACGATGTAGACGATGTAGACGATCCTCTTATTTTTCTTTTGGATCTCAACAGGCCACCTAAGTTGGGCGGCACCGAAGCAGCCAAAACCATACGATAAATGTTGTTCAACGAGGAACTGCAGCGGTACCTTTATCCGAAAGGTCGTCGGTTCGATCCCTAGTGACCCCTCTTTAGTAAGGTCATGTTGGTCTGCTGTTCCACTGACCGAATAAAAGATCTCAAATCCCCAAGTTGGGACCACAATTTTGACCATTTCTGCACTAAGCCATTCATCCCACAGACCGCCGAGAAATTACCCTCAGCTATCGAGACCTGGTGTGACGAAGAGTAGGACTGATGAAAAAGCACACACGAGCATGTTTATGATTACTTACATCCCTTGTAGAGTCTTCCATAACTCTTACCCTTACGAATTGCATTTATATTGTCTCAACCAAATCTAATGATATCATTTTGTTCTTTCATGTGTATATACCCACCGATAAGACCACTCGAACAACACAACTATTCGAAGATCCATAATCAATGCTTGAAAATAACAATAACTTCATCGTCTTCCCTTCTTATGGCGCTTCTGCTGCTGCTGTTTGTGTCGGCGTCTAGCGTTCTTACTCTCTCCCGTAGTAGTAGCAGCAGTCGATGGTGGTGGTGGTGGCGCCTCCTCTTTCGAAGAGCCACTACTCGTATTCTTCTTAGACTTACTCCGTCTTGGTGATGATGATGATGACGAAGTCGCCTTGGACTTCCCCATTTCCTTTTGTACAGCGTCCAGTGCCTCCTCGAGAGCGTCGTCATCCTAAAGCGAGCAAATCACCAGTGTTTGAATCGATCAATCACCAAGTCGAAAATATCGTCGGCTTCTTCTTCAATAATCTCTCTGAATCGCAGTAGCCAGTTTTGGTGGTCCTCTGTAATATGTCGATGTATGCCGTTCTCGTTATACGTCTTCCCTCCTGAACCAGTACCTGAAGAACACACAGATCATATGTATACACAACGTCAACGAAGACTATACGAGTCTTATAGTAAAGACTGTATAGCTTCCCAGAGTAAGTC